ATAGAAAGAATGAGAGAAATAGGAAGGAGTATGAAAGAAGAACTGAGTGTAAGAGATAAGGATATAGATAAGTAAGAACGTAGATCGAGAATATCGGAGTCTAGATATAATGCAGACTATAGAAAAATAGTAAAGGATGAAGTACCAAAGTACACAGAGAGAGAGAATATAAAGGAGAAAAGAATGATGGCGAGATTTAGGTGTGGAAATGAAGAGAAAGAGAATAATTTTTGGATGGATGAAACTGACAGAAGTTGTAGGATATGTTGGAGAGAGGGAGAAACAATAGAGCATATGCTGGAAGGATTGAGAGAATCGGAGGAAAGTAGGGAAGAAGTGCTAAACGAGGATGGAAGAGGACTGGACTGGATGAAAGAAGTATGGAAGATAAGGGAACTATGGCAAGGGATGGGCAAGCAGAAAGAATAGAATATTTATTATATAACACTCGAATTTTTATTTTATTTTATTTTATTTTATTTATTTTTATTGTTATTGATTTATCTGATGTAGATTAAGTTAATTTGAACCCCTACTGGAAATATTATTAAGCCTGTAAGGCAAATAATAAATTAATACTACTACTGTACTCTGCAACAAACAAATTTTCAGATACAAAGTAGACCGAAAGTTGAATAGGTCCAGAATAATGAATTTTAGTATGTATACTGTGATCAGAACTCTTGTGTGGGGTCTGTCTCAGGCGTCTATTGACTTCCACTAATTTTTATGAGGGCTTAACCACTCACCGTTGTAAACATGAGTAATACAGATGGCAATAATATTTTCATTACGGTCCATCTCGACAAATCCCCTCCCAACCTCCTCGGCTGCGACAAGTTTACAAGGGTTTTTAGTTAAGCCCTCATAAAAATTAGTGGAAGTCAATATTCAATCCAGTTTTCTCTTTTAAATACGACCATAGGATAAATTTTTACAAATGAAGAACAATATTTTATTTGAGATAAGAAAAGATCCAGTAATATGTAGGTATATGTTGATCATATCACTAGTATTAGGAATGTTTCCAAAAAAAGTTTAGGGTTCGTTATTCGAAACTGTTGTCACTTTAATAGTATATCAGCTTCAGTTTTCTTAAGTTCTTACTTGTGTTCATAACTTCTGGGGTGTCATCCAAGTATCATAATCTCTGTTTGTGTCATATCGGAAAACCTTCAGAGAAAATGTCTCACATTTTTACATTTCAGTGTCTTTAATAAATATTTATCCATCTAAGGACTTCCATCACAACACATTGCTGGAAACGACGAGTTCCGATTCTTTAGAATTCAGGTAAATGCCATTTAGTGTAAGTACGAGTACCAGCTGGTATCACTATTTCGTCTTTTATAAGTGTATGTTATTATTTTTTTATATTTATGTTTCTTATGTTATATGGCAGTGTCTGAAAAGGATAGTAATATGAATTAACTTTAGTAATTATTATTATTAAACTTTGTAACTTACCAACTCAATATCGCCTCGTTTTTTTCGTCTTGTTAAGTCGAAATCTGTGTAGTTTTATTTGATTGTTACATATCTGTGTTATTTCATATCTTTTAAGTTTATGTAGCTTTCACCACGGTATCATTGTCTTGTTATTGAATTATAATTATTATTTGATGGGTAATGAATTATTTATTTATTGGGTGTATTCACAATTCGAGACATCCTCGCCAACATTGTTCTCAGGCAATTGATACAAAAAATCTAACATTTCGAAAGAGTCTAAACTTTCGATATCACTGTTTTGTTTCAATAGTTCTGATATAAGTAACATATTGGTGACCGTACTCTACTATTATAAACAAGGGTAAAAGGTCCTGTAGAACAATATACAGAATAATCAACAAGTTCTCTTTCAGTTGGTATGATGCGGTGACGGGCTATTTGCATGGGCAATGTATTTCTTATAGTAACTCAAATTTGCACGTCAAATTACACGACGATTATGTACAAAATAATTCCGGCGCAACTGGATTCTGAACATGCACTCGACTCGACTCGTTGATTGAATAATCCTCGTTCCCGAAGGTGGCTTCTATTTAAACCCATACTTCGGCGATCGGGGTCTTTCTGGAATACCAGTCGCGAATTCCGCTCCCAGGCTTTTCTGGAGCGAACTCCGCCCGCCTAGGTCATCGATGATGAGTCATCATCGTCGTACATACTAGAGAAAACACATACATATTAGAAGGCCCATTGGCGTCGTACTGGGACGGCGTATGGGTTTATTTCGTAACAATATGATGGGTTTTTACTTGTGATTTTTCATTGCATTCATTTTTCCAGAAAATTTTGGGAATACAATACTGTTATTTTTAGTATTACACGGCACCAATTCAAGTTGATACACGTGTCCTTGTACAAATGTTGATGACGTCATCACGAAATTGTGTAAAGTAAAAACTCATTATAGTTATATCTACATATCTTTATTGCAACTTATATGGATTCTCATAAAAAATAAAATTCGCAACATTAAATTTTATTGTTTTTCGAAAATACTGTACTTTGTATTTCATTGTACTGTAGGTGCGAAGGAAGCTCTGTCGAAACAACTTCCTACTATTTTTTTTTAAACTAATGTCCATATACCTCTGGCAAATATTTCTCGGATGTCTATGTATACATAAGAGGCAGTCACTTAAGGTTTTCTTCAGAACACCGTTTATTAAAAAAAATCCGAAATAAAACTGGACCATATGCGAACCTTGTGAAACACCCAAATAAGTAACACAATGTGTAAGTTTAGAACTACAGCACTTGATTGTTGAGTAAACGATTAGAACCAGTAACAGTATTTTTTTCCCTATAAATAAATAAAATAAATTTTTTAGTTGAGGAAACAATTTAAACTGTGGTAAAGATGGATTCGTCGTGCAAACAACGGTGAAAATTCAGTGCAGCATTAAGCGGAACTAAAGTTCCACTAAAGGTATAATGCGTTTACCTGTGATTTCATAAACATTTACAGCGAATCCCTGATAAAATTAAATAAATACGAGCAAGGATTAAAAATAAAGATAATTAGGGAGACAGTTAGGTAGGCCACGTGCCGGATTGAAATATGTTTGTTTTGTAATTCTTACAATAGGAGAAGGTCTTGATCAGGGAAGCGGATTATTACTCCTATTGTGACGAATTTACAAAAATTATCGCAAGTTGAATAGCAATTAAGTCATAACCTCACTATATCTTTAGCTGAACTATAAAAAAGAACAAAATGGACCCGTCACGCCTTTTGAAAGAAAAACACGCCAAAATTAATTATTAAAAAAACTTTAATCCGTTTTACAAAAAATCAAAAACTGGTTAACTTTATTTGTCCACATTATGATTAGTAACTCTAACAAAAACTTGCAAAACTTGAAATCTTAGATACGCTGTGAAGAAGAGTATTTCTTGTTATTGGTGATTTTCCTTGGCTAGCTGATTTCAAAGAACCGTTTAAAACTAGGTACGTATACTTTCTCAAAAAATAACGAGAGAGAAATTGTTCTGTGATGAAGACCACCATGATTGCCAAATGCTACATAGAAAGGACGTTGTCCCTCAACATAGTGTAATCAAGGCACGAAATGTATCTATTATTTCAGTGTGAAATTTTTAATCACCTACCAGCAGTTGTACGCGAATTGGATACAAAATTATTTTTAAAAATTTGTAGCGTATGAAATGACGTGTTCATGTGATAAATGTGTTAAAAAATAACTTCACCAAATTTCTTATTTTTTTAATCGTCAAAATAAAAATAATATGAATTATAACTTACATACCGAGAGAACAATAAAAACGTGATCAAAGACAAACTTTCAAAAATCCATAGCTATCTTTGATCGTGTTTTTTCTCGGTACCCCGAGAGAAGTTATAAAAATCAATTATTCTGTCCAGATTTTCCCTTGACATATTTACTGTCGCACAAAAAACAATGCCTCAAACATAATTTTTGAACCAGCGATGTATAAAGCACAATTTCTAAGCTATAATCAATTAATACTTGGCCAATTGTTAATGTGAAAGTGCTAAATCGTCTACCGGTATAACATAAACAATAACTGACATTAGCATATTAAATGCATGGTTGTGGTCACCGAAAGGAACCTTGACTGTATTTTATTGTTGATATGAATTTCAACATTTTATAGATCGCTGCATTTGCTTGCTTCATACATTGCGCTTTAAGGTTTCGGAACTGCACACTGCTAGCAAAACCTATTTTACTCAAGACTTAAGTTTTTACGCGCCGTTTCATAAGTAAACGATATTTTAGCTTTTTGCTTGTAGAAATTGTGCACCAAAAATGACTTTCAATTGTGAATTAACAACAACTGATAAGAAAAATTTTACATTGCGGAACTAGAAGTTGTGCAGAATCTTTTTACAGGCAGTTTCTCCTTGTTCTCGTTGAGAATTTTTTTATGACATATATGTTTCATAAGTTTGTTGACACTGTGCTATATCTATTGACGCAAATTGGTACAATAGTATCTATTTAGTTTAAATAAGAGCACTAATAAATAGTTCAAATTTTTATAAATTTAAATATTTTACTAACATTTAGTACGCAAATTATGTTTATTAGTGTAAAAAGTGATAATAATTGACTACCTACCACATGCACTGTTTATTAGCTCTAATTTAAATTTACATATATTACTCTAAGTAGATTCTGGACCAACTTCGAACGTCAGGTTACTATACCTCCTACAACAATATGCATAACAGTTTTCAGGGTGTTTTTTTATTTTAATTCATAAAAATCAGTAACAGTTATTTAAGACGACACAAGTACCGATTCTCTGCTAATTAAATTAGCTCGACAAAGCAAATAAAATTCATTAAAAACGACCCGGAATGAGTCTAAAGTTGTAATATTGATAAAATTAGTACTTAATAGGAAAATTGATGTAATAGGTGCGACGTACTATGCAAATTAATCAAGTGCTTATGTTTATAAAGAGAGGGGCACAAACTGGTAGCAAACAGTACCAAGTGAGACGCCACTCGCGTCTCAGCCACTTGTTCTTCGGTGAAGAGTTACTCTCATTACTTATATATTATTATTAATATTTATTTTCGAGTGCATGGTTATGGTGAGTTTGTATTTATTTATTTTTTAAATAATAACAACGAAATACTTTTCTCACGGTTTTTCCAAAATAAATTCGAACCACTTGTACGACTGGTACTTTCCTGTTGCACTTGTAGAGAAATAGAGTAATTCCCCATGCGATTCTTATTTACTAAATTTCAATATCTTCTAGGAAGAATGACACAGAATAACGTAAAAAAATACTGGCAGTAATAATAGTACTTAGCAATGACAAATTAATTTATAAAATTGATGGAACTATTAGCGTAATCATAGCCATAGTATAATAGACAAAATATTTGGTGTATGTACCTTCTGCTTTGTATTTTACAATGATTTTCCAACTGAATGTGTCATTGACATCATTGCATGTGTACTCATAGTTGTACCGACATTAATAATAATTAATTAATCATCCTCTCTAACGATTTGTTTTTGCTCGATTAATAAATAATAATATTAGATAAAATTTTAATTTATTACACAACAATTATTTACATTTGCGTTACTTGATGAAGTTCAACGTAAAAGTACTTTTTTACTTATAGTACCAAATTTTTGTTTTGATGCGTTTTTGTTGCAATAAAAATTTGGTACTCTAATAAATCGATAAAACTATAATCAAACTATTGGTGCCACGCGGCTGTTATTTTCACTTTCCGTTAATAACAAAGAGAAAGCACTTCATTATCTATATATATCAATGAATATTTTGGGTGTGCCATAAACCTAACGAAGTTACTATAGCGTCTGTATTAATTGAGATAAGTTACGTATTGATTTATTCATAGTTCCAGCAGTTACTGCGGTGTGGTAATTTCCGCCAAAATAGATTCTGGGTAAGTCAAATTGTTTGTTCAAAATTCACATACAGACGTAAGTGATGTTGATTTATTTTTATTGCATTTTTTAACGTTATTTTTTAGTTACATAAGAGATAATAATCTTTGGAAAAAGACAACTACATATTTTATTGCATATGTTTGTTATAGTTATGACGTACAGATTGCAAAATTATTTGTTTTTTTTTTTTCTCCTTTTCGAAGCAACAGTCAATAATCTGTTTGTAAGATGTAATTTAGTTAGACGATCGATACAGAGTTCTTAATTACTCTGTTTCTTTACCAAAGATAACAGAACAATTGCACACACGCAAGCAATTATATGCTCATCGTAAATTTAATTTTACCATAAAATAACAAAGTAAAACATCATAGTTTATTTGTATGATGTTTAGAGTCAGAGAAAATTAGTGAATAAGATTTGTTCTTCAGCAGACAGCAAACAATTTAGAGGAAATTTGAGAAATCTTGAATGATACTTTTAAAATTACCGTTATAAAAACCAGGAAAAAACGTCTCCCAAATCACTGCTTTTTGATGTTTCTATAAAGGGTTTAATTTTATATTTTATCATAACTGTAGTAGGAATAATTTTGATAACAAATCTCACTGGTCTATTACTAATATTAATATTAATATTTGAATACAGTTTTACAAATCCTTTTATAGAACTGTGTCCAAAAGTTTTTTAAATGTCAAAATAACGAAACTGATAAAAATCACAATTTAATAATTTTGATTAATAAAACAAATTCCCTTATCATTTTTTTTAATCACCCTGTATAAGCAAGTAAAAAAAAATATTAATGTTGCTAAATCACAAATATAGAGTATGGACTCAAAATATTTTGCACAATTTAGATAGGATTTATTCGGCGATCTTTTGAGATGACGTCATCAATTTGGGGGAGGGGATAAACGGATAAATTTGGATGTCTAGGGTGAATCGATACGGATTTATACATGACAAGTGTAGGAGTGTTTAAAAAAAATTAAATAATATTTACTATGTAACATTGTGACGTCATTATATTGGTGGGAATGTTCAGAAAAATTTTAATGGGGTTTTACCATCTGTAGTTACATATACAATATACATACAAAATTTGCCATACAAACATATTAGTTTATGTAGCTTTGGATAAGTAAATTTTTTAATATTTAAGTAATTTAGAATAAAAAGACAAGCAGCAACCCTTTTAAAAAGCATATTGTTACTTCCAGAATTTCTTTAGTTATAATTAAATACCAAATATTTTATCCTGTGCCCCATATTTGTCTGACATTTGATATTTGTAATCTCTTTGTCAAATACTGAATGATATTAAAATTAAACTACCCGTCAAAAATTAAGTAGAATCTTTATATAATCGATTTTTGATGAAGATGGTTATTCAGTATTTTCAAAATATACAGGGGGAGTCATTATGCGTGTGGTTCTCGATATCTCACTAATTAAAAAGTAGAAAAAAAGTTGAAGACTAAAGTTGTTTTTTTTTTATTCTTTGAGTATATACTAACTATTTATTTTCGATTATATAGAGTGTTTTATTTCTTAAGTACAGCACATAACTTAGTTTTTTTTTTTTAAGAAAATTTTAATATACAGAGGGTTTATAAAAAAAATTAGAACTTTATAACTGATGTTTCAGTTTTTTTTTTTTAATAATACACCCTGTATTTTATTAGTATATCTTATTCTATTTTTTATTCTCTTTCTGTCAACATGTCCACGTGTCTCTAAAAAAAAGTAAAAAAAACTAAAAATTGTAAAAATTGTAAAAATCCCAAAGATTTCAACAGTTTTAGATTCTAAGTATCCTAGAGACCCTAAAAATTCGTTACATTCTGAAGATTTTAGCGATTCCAAAGTTTCCAGACTCTCTAAAGGTTCTAGAGATTCTAGAGATTCAAAAGATTCTAGTAATTAAAAAAATTATACAGAATCTATAAATTCCAGAAATTGTACAAGTTTTAAAGTCTACCCATTCTAGAAATTCTACCGATTTTTAGAAATTCTATAGGTTCGAAAAATTCGAAGGATTCTATAGATTCTAGAGTTTTTAGAGATTCTAGAGGTTCTGGAGATTCTGAAGATACTAAAGATTCCAAAGAAACAAAAGTTTTAGATTCCAGTGGTTCCAGCAACTGTAGAGATTTTGAAGATTCTAGAGAATCTAAATATCCTAGAGGCCCTAAAAATTCGAAAGATTCTGAAAATTATTCTTAAGTTTCCAGACTCTCTAAGATTCCAGAGATTCCATAGGCTCTAGATATACAGAGATTCCGTAGATGTCAAAGATCCTAGTAATTCAAAAAATTATACAGAATCTAAAAATTCCAGAAAAAGTACAAAAAAATAAGGATTTTACAATTAAGCTCTGCTCCTCGGCTTACGACGAATAAAAAAATCATCAGAATTGAGAAAGGGTGGGTGGGTGGGGCTTTATTTTTCTTAACATAACATAAGACATCTTTTCACAACAAGAACATGGTTAAAATGGTACATTTTTGAAAGGAAATATGGATTTTGCAATCATAGGGCGGAGCCTTAATGCAAAATCGATATTTCCTTATACAAAATTTACATTTTAAACATGTTTTAAGTTTCATGTTTTGCAAAGAAGTCTACACATATTAAACCAAAAAGATAAAAGGTAAGCCCGCCCACCCGCCCAATTTCAAATATGATGATTTTTTTTATTCGACGTGAAACAAGGGGGCGGAGCTTAACTGCAAAATACTTATATCTATATTCCAAGAAATTAAAAACATGTTTTTGAGTATCGTTTAAAGAATACTAAGTATGTATATTAAGAAAAAATGCAAGGGACATGACAAACAACAAAATTGCACAGGGTGTTTTATTTTAAAAATTGAAATATCGATTTCCGAATTGTAAAAGTTTATTTTTTTTTTTATTGTGACGCAATCTTATTTATGTCACAACAATGCGCATACCATTATTTATCACTCCATAAAATATTGTACTATAATACATATTTTCAAAATAACCCTATCGTGATATTTTGTGAACCCTTTCATTCTAAAAAATTTCAAACCAATTGGATAACGTGGCAAGATGGCATCTGAATTTTAAAAATACACTTTGGTTATAAAGTCTAAGAGGAGGTGAATCAGAATAATTACGTAAAAATATACACCATATTCCATTTAAGAAAACTAAGTTATTTTACGCCTTAAAAACGGAATACTCTGTATAGTTGAAAATAATTTGAGTGTACGGTTTCAAAGAACCGTAAAACTTTGGACTGTTTCTAATAAATAATGCGATGTGGAACAGAGTGCGCTTAATGACTCACCCTGTATATGAGAAAGAAAAAAAACAGTCATCCAATTTTACAAAAACGTAATATTTTCAAAATGGACAAAATTATGACATCATAGATTCAGTTATCAGTTTTATTTTTAGTACACATAATGAAAAATATAGTAGTGGAGGAAAACAGTTATAGAATAAAAAAATGGGTCGAAGGTTATTTCGACAGAACTTCCTTCGCCTCTGAAGTACAATAAAACAAACCCAACTTTTCAGATAAATTTTAAAATTTTATTTTTTTATGAAAATTCTATTAAGTTAAAATAAATGTGAAGCAGTTAAATAACACTATCATTCATTAATTTTTATGAGTCACCCTGTATAAGACATTTATATAAAAACTTTTAATGCAATGATAAACCACAAATACAGACCTATTACATTTTGCACATTTTAGATACGATTTATTCGGCAAAATTTTGACATGACGTCATTAATTTTTGAGGGAGATAAACAGATATATTCTGATTAAAAATTTATCATGCTTATGATAAGTTTAAAATATCTGCAAAATTTCAAAGCATTCAGTTGTGCAGTTCCTGATTTATTCAATAAAACAAATTGCGTCTTTCATTAATTTTTTGAGTCATCCTGTATAAGTAATTCTAAAAACTATGAGTGCGTTGATAAACCACAAGTATGCAGTTATAATATTTTGCATATTTCAGAGAGGATTTATTCGGCAAAACTTTGAGATGAAGTTTTCAATTTTTTGGGAGTGGATAAACGAAAATTGCTTTCCAAGATTTTAGAGCATTCGGTTTTGCAGTCTCAAAATATTGTTATACAGTTTTGAATTTTTTTCGAAAAATCTGGATG